AACAAGACCCTCCAACAGAGGACAAAGACTCCAGAACTGTGTACTACATAATGGGAATTTCCAGTAGAACTGGCAGCATTATGGACAATATTATAGCAGAAACACTTCTCACATGGCCAAAACTAAGGCACTAAAGAGGTGAGCAAGAGCTTCTGGGCATCATAGCATCCCCCACAGACACAGGACTAACAAAAGGTTCTTTCCCCCAAGCCCTGAGGTAAAACCTGGGGCTGTTTACTACGGCTCCAAAGGTCAGAAATAATAGCATGAACTGAGTCTTCTTCTTGCTCTTTGAAACTCCTTGTCAAGTGGCACAGCCAGCTGGGCACACAACTCTGATATGCAGATCATAACGTTTGTGAACAGATAAAATGAATTACAATGAGCACAGCCTATCATATTTCAAATCTCTAATGGGCAGGAAGGTCTCTCTTTTATACCCACATACTGTCCAAATGCCTCCTCTTATAGTTCATTTGAGGCCATTTAAGCACTTCAAGAATCTGTACACATCTCATTAGTGAACAGCTCTGGAAGCCAACTTTGTAAAACTATAATTATCCTAAGGACAAGTAGGGTAGTAACTATATAACAAAAATAATATTAACTACTAATATATGAAATATTCAAATATATATTTCATGTTGATAATCACTAGCCCAATAAATGTTAATATTCTATTTTACAGATGAGGAAATTACAGTATGGGGAGGTCAAGTCATTTACCCAGGTAAAGCCAAGAGTCTTACTTGGGTCTAGTATGCACTAATATGAGACTGAGAACTTCACAAGAAATAAATGGAAATGGTGATTTGTTACCAAATCACTACCCAAAAGCAAGGAAAATTGAAGAAAACCCACAGCTGCCATGTGACATTCAAAAACTACAACTGGTGACCTGTGCATCATGCAGAGAGATACAGCAGTTGGTAAGTTCCAGTTTTGGTTTTCTAAGGCAATAATGGCAAGAAAAGCTATCCTGGATAATCAATAACTCATTTTGGGAAAAGCAGCCTACAGCACTAGCTCCTTATTACCATGCTCTGACTGAGTTCCTGACAGCAATACCACTGCCTCAACCAGAACGCCAATTACACCTTCTGCTGTTGGAGCAGCAGCAATTCTTAACACCAACACCAAGTATATACTATTTTATAGTAACACCCCAATACTAGCAATCTAAACAACCAAACCTAAACGGGGGGGTTTAAGAATGTCATCCAGACACCCACCCAGCAACTCCTCCCACGTTAATCACTACATGCAAAGCACTGAGCTAACCCCTAACACTCTCTTCTCACCTACAGCAGTTCTCCAAAGCTAGGAGATGTCCAGTGTTCTACCTCCCACAAATCATGCTCACAATATCAAAGCACAGAGCTCATGCCAATTATGATGAGATTTCCCGTTAAGCAAATTACAAAGCACGACTCATAAAACCATATGCATTTAGGGCAATAGTTCTTAACCCTGGCAGCATATCAGAGTCACAGGGAGCTTTAAAATAATGCCAATGCCTGGGCCTCATCCCAGGCCAATTAAATCATAATCATGGGAAGTGGAACCCAGCATGGATATTTTTTGTAAAGCTTCTCAGGTGATTCCAAAGTGCAGCCAGGTTTGAAAACCACCAAATTAAGTATTGCAAGAGTGGTATTTCTGAAAACCTCTTGTCCCACAAATCTATAACGTGGCACAAACACCACAAAGACGCCCTCTCCCATCCATTGTGCCTGCCATCTGGGCTGTATTAAAATGAAACATCAATAAAATGACCTCTTAAAATCTCGGTCTCATTATTTCTTTGTTTGTAGCAATGAAATACTAAACAAGAAAGTCACTCATGGCCCCCAAGCAGCCTCCAGGCCTCCTGCTGAGAACCAGAGCTGTATTATGATGCAGCGGTGAGGAGGTGGGTAAAGGCTCCTCACTCTCCTGCAGTTGAGCATGGGGGACAGTGGGGCTGGCCATGTCCAGGCAGGAAGCAGCCTCAGCGCCATAACCAGACGGAGGAAGCCTTCACAGTTCAGGCATGATTATCAAACTCTTTGTGCTCTTAAAGGAGAGTAATTATAGGCATGTGAAAAAAGAAAAGCACTCCCCGAGGAACTCTTCCTCACATGCTTCCCAAGAGGCACTAGGGCCATTAAAAATTCCATGATGAAGAGGAAAAACAGCCTGGGAACAGCCAGGAGGCAATACAGCAAATTAATACACCAGCCCTCCTCAGGGAAAGCTGTGATAAAACAGGAAACACTTCTCTCTCCGCCAAATAAAATTATACCACTAATGATAACATAGTCACCACACACACACAAATCGTTCTAATGATGGGTGTGAAATTCCCAGTGCTGCCCAGATGCTTTGAAAGAAATTTTTCCTACTACAGATAAAATGGAACAAGAAAGAGATAAAATTTCCATTAGAAATAGTTTTCTATTCATTCACCTGCCTCTTCCCTACCACCACTCTTTAACATTTGCCTTTCTAGGTGCCAAGCTCTGTTAAATCGTCCACTTTTCACAAATCCCACCATCCAGTTCTGAATCCAATCTCATCCCTCAGTCACACTGAAACTAGACTGCTTCTTCTCTACTGAGCCCTTGCTAGGTAGGAACCCCACTATTTCAAAGGAACGAGAGGGAGAAATAGCCACAAGAGGACAATTATGTGCCACTAGACTACATAGGAACAATTTAATACAAAAAATTAAATTTAAGAAAATAAATTTATGTTTAAACACTTTACCTTCCCCTTCTCCCAAAAAACCTCATACAGTCAACTCATTTTGTGTCCACTACCCTAGAAATGATGTCTAGAAAGACAAGCTATGAGCTATCATTGTCCACATTCTCTCCCCTTGCTTTTAGCCATGGTGGAGAGCAATAAGCAACATTTCCCTAGAGCTGATTGCACCAGAAGCACAACCTAGATATCGTTATGTTTCCAACTGCAGCTACAAGCTCTGCCAGCAAGAGAAGGAAAATAATGATATGGATGATGATATACACAAAGAAACAAGAAGTTGACACTCACTCCAGGGGGATGAGGTTTTAAAAGCAACAGCAAGGCCCTAACTGGTTTGGCTCAGTGGATAGAGCGTCGGCCTGCAGACTGAAAGGCCCCAGGTTCGATTCCGGCCAAGGGCATGTACCTTGGTTGCGGGCACATCCCTGGTGGAGGGCGTGCGGGAGGCGGCTGATCAATGTTTCTCTCTCATCGATATTTCTAACTCTCTGTCGATATTTATAACTCTCTGTCCCTCTCCTTACCTCTCTGTGAAAAATCAATAAAATATATTTTTTAAAAGCAACAGCAAGCCTGATAAAAACATGGATACTGAGCACAGTACAGCTCTAGGTAGCAGCAGAGGTAAAGGAAAGAAGGCGAATAATCCACTTTCAGCATCTGACATGATACAGTGCTTCTTATAGTCTTAGCAAAAAGTATACATGGCCACTATTTTATTTGGTATCAAGACAAAAGCTTGAGGATTGCTTACTTAGGGATTGAAATTTTGTGTCTTCCAAGATAGTTTGCACACACCACCTCTAAGAAAACCTCCCTGAGCCTCTAAGTTGAAGCCCCTCCACTGTGCTTCATATCAATGTCGTGCACACCTTTATGCACTTATCAATACATATTGCAATTGTCAATTTCCACACCTGACTTTCCCATGAAAATAGGAGCTCCTTAAGGTATTACCTAAGCAAAGACCCTGCAACATAGTAGGGTGTCAGCAAATGTTGAATGAATGATGAATTGCAATCTACTGAAGAAAAGGCCGTATAGTAGTTTATCATCGTCCCACAATTTTCCACTTTCCTAGTAACGCCATTTGTGATAGTCTCTCTTTTCAAAAGACTTTCCCCATTTAAATACTACTTCTCCTAGGTCTGGTAGCAGTTTATGATACAGAGCTTATTGTTATAGCCCATAGTGGAAGTTCTACTTACATCCATGAAAGAATAACTTCTTTGTGTACTCTGTACCCCAAATGTTATGAACACATCCATTTAAGAACATATTAGGGGGGAAAATCATCAGAACCTTGGAAAGAAATTCACTGTGCTACTATAAACAGTAAAAGTCCTTTGGTTCAGCCTATTAACTGCTCTTTTGTACACATTAGTCCTGCTAGGAGATGCTACAATAAAAACCGTATTTACTTTCCATGTCACCTAACTTAAGAGAATTTATATTGAGAGGCGCTAAATTCATTCTACCATGTGGGCTCAGGATTCATTCTAACAAATGTATACTAAATGCCTAGCAAGTGCTAGACACTGCGTTAGATGCTGGGGATTTATCAGCGAACAAGACAAGGTCCCTGCACTTGAAGTTTATATTCTAGTGGGGGCGGAGCCCAATAAACAAAGTTAATAAAGACGATGTTAAAGCTCTAATAAAAAAGAAACAGATAATAAGCAGAGTGGTAGAGGTGGCCCCTTTAAATAGGATGGTCTAAGAGGTCCTCCCTGAGGAGGTTGAGTTGAGAAAAAGCCAATCCTGGGAACTGCTATAAGATGGCAGTCCAAGTAAAGGGAGCACGTGTGAAGGTTCAGAGGCAGGAAAGGGTTGCTACTTTTGAAGAACAAAATGGAGCTCCCTGGTGCAGCTGGATCCCTCCCCCAGTGAGGAGAAAGACATGAAAGGGGTTTGGACATATAGGCAGAAGTCAGATTATGCAGAATTTTGCAGGTCATGGCAAGGATCATTAATAATGTTCTCTGAAGATGCGGCTTGTAGAAGAAATATGAAATATGAGCCAGAAAACTAGGTCAAAATTGAAACTTAAATCACATACTAGTTACATGACCATAGGGAAGTTACCTTGCCACTCTGCCTCAGTTTCTACATCTGAAAACATCCATTGACCTCAAAAGGCTGTTGTAAAGATCAAACTGGACACTATACACAAACACACTTCATAATTCAAAAGGTGTTGTAAAAAGAAAAATGGCATTGTCTGGAAGAAATAGCCACAAGAAGACCATTACCTGGCAGAGCAGTGTGCAGGTGAACACCGTCGGTGAGAAGCATCAGCAAGAACATCCAGGGAGTAAAGGGGAGAGAGGGGATTAAACTGCAAAAATAAATAAGATTATTTTAGTAAAGCGTATACAAAACAGACATGATTGGAAAGAGTAACCTGCTACTTGATTACTTTTTCGCTTTGACCATTCAACTCCTTTGCTGTCCCACAGACACCCTTCAGTAAGGTTTTGCACATCCAACAGTGTACCCAGCACAGCTCATCTACCACCCCCAAAAACTATTCTTTTCCAAAAACTTCTGATAAACAATAATTACTTAAATGGCAGAGGACAGTACAGTGGACCCTTGAACAAACACGGGGGTTAGGAGCACTAACCCCCAACATGGGTCAAATATTCATGTATAACTTCTGACTTCCCCAAAACGTAACTACTAACAGCCTACTGTTGACCAGAAGCCTTGCTGATAACATAAACAGTCTGTTAACATATAGTTTATATGCTATGTGTATTATATACTGTATTCCTACAAGAAGGTTAAGAAAAAGAAAATGTTATTCAGAAAATCATAAGATGCCTAAAGAACAGAAGTAATAGTCAACAGGAGAAGGAAGAGAAAAGATAGTAGCTCAGAGAATATTGGGAAGAGAAAGGGCTTTCTAAGGCACATTTTAGGGAATCAGCTGACAGCCAGGCACAAGTTGACTAGAACAACGTAGTCAGTGGTCTTAGTAAGAGCAGCAACTGATTGTCACAAGTAACCAGGAATCACAAGTGTCCTCCTGGGCTGGGCAAGTCAGTGACCAACATCACTTTGGGGGCAGGGGATTGCCTCATTTTCCCACTGGCTTGAATCTTCAGTTTATCCCACAGAACATCAAGGCATGAAGCAATTGCTTTGTTCCTGTAAGAGTCATCAATGCAAACAGCTGGAGTCAGTGCTCTTGTATCAAACACAATCTCCTGTTATTCACAGCTCCACAGAGAGCAATTTCATATTAATTACAGCCCCGTCTTGATTTCCTGTCATTGTTACTGATTGCCTACATCAGTGGTCTTGCGAGCCACATGCGGCTCTTTGGCCCCATAAGTGTGGCTCTTCCTAAGCCTTAGGAGTACCCTAATTAAGTTAATAAGAATGTACCTACCTATATAGTTTAAGCTTTAAAAATTTGGCTCTCAAAAGAAATTTTAATCATTGTACTGTTGCTATTTGGCTCTGTTGACTAATGAGTTTGCCGACCACTGCAGTAGGGTCCCTAGGCCTGGCTGGCAATCAGGGCCAATCTGTGGGGTGACCAGTGGGGCAACTGGGGGCTCCCCTGTTGACACCTGCCTTGGCTGGCCTGGTGCCGCCCACGTGCCATTCCCCCTACCCCACCCCGGCTGCCACCCTGGTGGTCAGTGTTCATCATAGTGACTGGTCATTCCACCATTGGGTCAATTTGCATATTAGGCTTTTATTATATAGGATTTCAGTTTATCATCTATAAAACATCTATGGACCTCAAAAGGTGGTTGCAAGGATCAAGTGGGACACTATACATAAAAGTATCTTACTTTACTTTTGCTACTTTCTTTAGACTTTTTCCACAATAAATAAACCTCCCCAAAATTTCAGAACTAAATATATTTTAAGACTGAAAGAACTCCAATGGTCATTACAAAAGAACTTAAGAGAATACAAACTATGGAACTGTTCTCTGTGTCAGAGGTTCCAGTCGCGGTTCTACAAGCTCTATGACTTGGGACAAACAGATTAAACCTCATCTATAAATAATACATCCCCAAAGATCCCCTCTGCCTTTAGATCCTCTGAGGCAACCATGATGAGCACTCTAGCTTGGAGTTCCCTAAAGTCTTTCACATACGACCTTAATGACTTTTTCCATATTTGGCCACCACCTGCACTATTTACTTAATATTTTTATATCAATTATTATTCTTCAGCATTGTCCTTACTCTATTTCTATGAAATAACAAGTTTGATACAATGATTACATCTATTTTATAACTCATCAAGATAAAGCAACCTCTCTTCCAAAATCAAAAGCTTCAAACATAAAGGAACAATAGCCACAATCAATAGTTTTTAAATTATGTTCCCTACAACAAAGGACTAGATGTGCCAGGGCTCCCTCAGTGGGTAGCTAGGGACAAGACTAAGAGGGCAAGGCTCTAAGACCTCAACTCCACTTCCCCCAAAGCAGCTCTACGTAGACTTCTTCTGTTTCATATGTGTAGGCTTCAACAGTGTACTTCTCAGCAAAAGAGTCTGCTGCTGAACTAAACAAGAAGCAGGTGAGGTTCATTCTGATTTCTTACTGCAAAGTTCAAAATAAAAATAAAAATAGGATTCCTATGAAATATGTGTTACAAGTAATAAACTAAAGATTACAGCTGAACTTAACAAGTAGCTACAGGTCTTATTTGTGAGTACCTATTCTTGGGCAACAGTCCTCCAAGAAAATGAGAACAAGATAGGGAACAGGAACCTTACCTCATGTGCACAAGCAGAAATGGAAGGAAAATCAGAAGCCAACACTTTATTCTTTCTAAAGAAAAGAAAATCAAGTGATAAAATAGAGATAAAATAAAGACCTTACCTGATTTCGTTCCCTTTTCCCAACTGATGGTAACCAGACACTAGAGAAAGAAAGAGAATAACAGTAAAAAAAACAATAAAAGAAGTAGTAGGAAAATTACAGAGGGAGGGAGAAGATAAAAAGATGTTTGCATAATGAAGAGAAGACAAAGAAAGAAATGGGAAAAGATGGAATTGGAGGAGAAAAGAAAAGAGATGTTAATGTGTCTGAACTTTTTGCAGAAAATAATTCTTCAAAGGAAAAGCCTTGTAATGGAATGTAAAAGACTGGACACTCTACAAATAAACCCTTGATTAGACTGTGAAAACAATGCTCTCAGGTGTGCAGTGACAACAGGGTCTCCAATTCAACTAAGGCATAAACTACATGCACACCTTGCCTATTTTGTACATTAAAAATTCACCCAGGCTAGATAAGTATAGACCATTGATGGCAAACCTTTTGAGCTCGGCGTGTCAGCATTTTGAAAAACCCTAACTTAACTCTGGTGCCGTGTCACATATAGAAATTTTTTGATATTTGCAACCATAGTAAAACAAAGATTTGTATTTTTGATATTTATTTTATATATTTAAATGCCATTTAACAAAGAAAAATCAACCAAAAAAATGAGTTCGCATGTCACTTCTGACACACGTGTCATAGGTTCGCCATCACTGGTATAGACCATAACTGACTACTGACCATGACGTGTTCAGGAAACATCAAAGAGCCAATCATGTTAGGAGACCAGGCTGTCACAAGAAGGGATGGAATGACTTTCCCATAGCTATACATAGGCTTTTTAGTTGTACTTATCACAGTAGTTAGGACAAAAAAAAAATATTTCTCTATACAGAGGTCTAAAAATGAGAAGGGAATATAAGCAAATTTAGAGGCAATCACCCATTTTGAACAAAAACAATTTTAAGAGACAGAAAAATGAGTTTAAAATGTAGCATCTTCATTGGAGGCTACTTTTAAAATGCAGCACCTATAGATATAAAAGCAAAGAAATAAAAACTAGTCTAGAAAGGAAAAAAATATTAATTCTTATAGGTTTAGGGCATTACCCATGTTGACTATTAAGATCTCCTCTTTCAGGCCCTAGCTGGTTTTACTCGGTCGATAGAGTGTCAGCCTGCAAACCGAAGGGGCCAGGGTTGGATTCTGATCAAAGGCACAGACCTGGGTTGTGGGCTCAATCCCCAGTAGGGGGCGTGCAGGAGGCAGCCAATCAATGATTCTCTCTCATCATTGATGATTCTCTCTCCCCATCTCCATTCCTCTCTGAAATAAATAAAAATATAGTATTAAAAAAAAAAAGATCTCCTCTTTCAGCTCTAAAGTCAGATTTCTAGGTTCCTTTATAAAACTTTCCACTTCTTCCTTCTCCAAGGAACAGATCAGAATATCCAGTAAATACATAAGCACTTACTCTTTCTGCCGAGAGTCACTAATGATGTGGCCTATCCTCTCAGTACCCAAAGTACTTATGCTGGCCTCCTGAAAAGGCAAGGAAGACAAGAGTGTCATTTAACCACAGAAACAAATATATGAAGCATAACCTGTCATCAAGCTAACACTTTCCCATACTGTACCAGCAACTTCAAAGGCACATGTCAAATGTCAACTTTAAAATCCAACAGCAAGTATATTTATTTTTATGAGAATCTAACTTACAAGTATTTCATGTTGCACTGGTCAGTGTGGCTCAATTGGTTACAGCCGTGGTCAGCAAACTGCAGGTTGTGAGCCACATGCGGCTCTTTGGCCCGTTGAGTGTGGCTCTTCCACAAAATATCACATGCAGACGCGCACGTACAGTGCGACTGAAACTTCCTGGCCATGCGCAGAAGTCGGTATTTTGTGGAAGAGCCACACTGAAGGGGCCAAAGAGCCACATGGGGCTCGCGAGCCGCAGTTTGCCGACCACTGGAAGCATCCCAAGCACTGGAGGGTCGCAGTTCAATTCCCAGTTAGGGCATTTACCAGGGTCCCAAGTTCGATCCCCAGCCCAGTTGGGGTGTGTGCAGAGGCAACCAATCTCTCTCTCTCCATCTCCCTTCCTCTCTCTCTCAAAATCAATTTTTTTAAAAAGTATTTCATGTTACCCTAGGCTTACTTTTCTTTAGTCTTTCAAAAAAGTTGTTATAAACATTGTTTACTATATATAGTATTTTATAATAGTAATATCTCCTGGAGATATTCAAGTATATAGAAATAAAAACACTTTCAAAAAAAATATTCAACCCAGCTCATTTTGAACAGACCAGCAGCACATCCATTTACAGAGTCCTCACTAGTAACACCTAAATATATACTGAGTAAATGTATATACATAGCAAAGGATTTTTGCAACTTACAAAAACTGTCACCTGTATTTTGTCTGTTAAATGTCATCTCTTAAAACAAGAAATAGAAGTTTGCATAAATTGTTTCCTAAATTTGGGGTTTTCGAATTTGCAACATGAAATGTTACCCTAACACTACAAGCAATTCAAAACCTAATCATCTCCAAAAAAACTGGAAAATGGCAGAAGGCACTCACCCTTCATTTAACGTGAGCATATTTACAATGAGTATCTATCACAGTGCCCGGGGAAGCATACCAACAGTGTATAAATAAGAGTTATACACATATGAGTAAGTGCTAAGATGAGAGCGTATAAGTCATAGCGCATGTCTGTCAAGAATGTCAAACCTGCTACTCAAATGCATTTGTTTCTGGACAAATATTATTATCTGTATTCATCTATGTGCATAATTAGTTTAAATATTAGGATACACATTTTAGCAGAACTAGCTAATGAAAAATCAATTTGAGGTCAGATTTTGGGCAGGAGTGGAGGTAAATGAAAAGGTTTCACATACTGTATTCTTCATACTCTTCATCCCTATACCTGTGCCTCCTGGTCACAGACACAGCCATGGTAGTGGGGCCAAGGGAAAAGATGAGTGAAAAATGAGCTATTTGTTACAGAAAAAAAAATTATTAACTTAAAGTGCCGTAATGTTTAAATTTACAGTTTATTACTATGTAAATTACAAGCAGTACTTGGCGTAATTAGCAGCTCGCTAGCAGGGAGCTGTGAATGAAACTCATTATTTATGATTACAATTTAGAAAAAAAGAAGAGGCATGGGGAGGGGGGGAAAGGGAAGCAGAACAGTGACCTCTGCTAGAAATGACAAATATCCCTTTAAGGTGATGAAGATGAATTAAACAAGTAAATATTATTCTATTCATTTGCAATCCTTAGAGACGTCCAAAAGGCCCTAGTTTTCTTGCAGGCAAACCTAAGGAAGCCTTCAAGTTGAACTGATTTACTTCCATGGAAGTGAAAGGTTCTTATTTTTATAGGAGCTGAAACAAAGTAAGGTAGGTAGTAGGGGAAAACTTTTGTCAAGCTTAACCAATGAAGAGAAAAAGATCAAACCATCACTCTGTTTCCCACTGCCAAGCTCCTGCTTCCCTCCACCCCCATGTACTCACTTATACCCTGCTAGCTGTCAAGAATATGCACCCAGAACAACAAAGGCAGCTTTTTATTGTCGGGAAAATGAGTAACCAAAAAGAAGGCATCGTTCTCCCAATAATCAAATGTCTTTCTAATTAAACATTTGAAATTGAATTTAAAGATAAAAAAAATCTAAGTTCATCTGGATTCTCATAGATGAATACATATAATAAAAACAGCATTTATTTTGACTAAAACTTCAAAAAAACAAGTCCCTGATTAAATTATAAGATAGCAACTCTCTGACTACTATACTAGTATAACCAGGTTGGCACAGAGCCTGCAACATAGGCATTCTAAATGCTTACTGAGTAAACCAACTAATTAATGCTCTAAAATGCCTCTCTCTTTCTCACTCTTTGCCCACCACCATCTTCTCTGACTGGGTATGAACCCCAATCTTAACCTATATTCAATCTCAAAGCTAAAGTAAAAAATAATTTTTTAAATTTAAATAAAAAAGAGAAGTAGACCTAGGTTCAACTCTCTACCCTGCCACTTCTATCTGGATAACATCAGACATTACTGAACGGTCTTTGAACCCAAGTTTTTCTCACCTGCTAAAGGGGAATAGCACCTTTTTTCAAGGTTGTTGGGAGGATTAAATGAAGTGAGTGCCCAGCACAGTCACTGGAAAAGGCAGACCTGACTGAGTAAGTAGATATTCCTCCCTCACGGCCAGTGAGGGGGTTTTGAAATTTGGTAAGTTTTTTCTTTTTAATGAATTTTGGAGTAAAAGACCAAAGACAGGACAGAAGAAGCACCCATGAATTCAGGAAGAGTCATAAAGAAGTCAAGAGTGTTTTAACTTACATAATAATCACATAAGATTCATAAAAAAAACAGAATAGAGAAAGATCAGGCCTGTAGATTTATAAGCAGCAGATACTGTCATAATGACAGTGTTTGCTGTCAGAAGTTCTATATGAATTAAACTTCAACCTTTATGTGTTTATCCATCCATATGAACTTGCAAAATATTCCAGTTGGCTTAATTAACTCCAGGGTGCTCTGCAGCACCTTTGATTATCAAGAGGGCACACAAATCCCCAAAGGAATAGTATCCTCCCACGGAGCCTGTAAACAGTAAGAGCCATCACCTTCCCAACAAGCCTCCTTCGCCCCTTTCTGAGACATCGAGCAGCTCCAGGCAGACGATTCAAGCGGGAATGGTACCCTAAAACAAAACAAAGGCAGTCTTCAGTAACTGAAGGTAGAAGATTGATTAGCAATGACATGCTTCCAGGAGACTAGAGTCCTTCTCACCCAGGATCTACTAGATTGACCCTTAAACTAGTATCACCAGGCTATTTGTCAAGGATTTACTATCTCCAAGTCTTTGTCACCAGTAGTGATCTCAGGCATGTCACTTACCTTTGACCTAGGCATCCACATCTGTAAAAGAGGGCTATCCGCTTGCTCAGTCCTATCTTATAGGGATGTTTGAAACCAAATGAAATAGCACATGGAAGATACTAATAAACTAAAAAAAACTAGACGAATATATGAGGTATTATCAACAATTTATAACTACAAGTTAAATGCTAGTTATTACTCAAAGCCATTCTAATTCATGAAATAATGGTAAAAATAGCATGTATAATCCAATCCCATTTTTCTGACTGCCGTATGTGTTTTACACATAGAAAAGACAACTGGAAGAACCACACCAAAATGTCATCAATGACACTGTCTCTGGGTATGGGATTATAGGCCATTTTTACATTTCTTCTTCTTCCTATTCTTGCTTATTTGTGTGTATTTTAACTAGTCCCTAAGGAACTTTTAGACATGGTCATGGAAATGTTTGATAAACATTATTAAGGTAGCACACAATGTTCCTCAGGCAGAGAGTACTCTTTATCAAGAACCAATTTCTTTGAGAAGGTCTTTCAACCATCATTCATCATAATGAAATGCAACAGGAGTTTACAGCTCTTAGTGAAATTCTGATCACTAACAGATGCTCAACTAATACTTGATAACTAACTGAACTGATTATTAACTACTGAGAATTCTACAATCATAAATGTATAGAGCTAAAAGAAACCTCTGAAACAGTTTTGTTCAATGTTGAGAGAGAATCATTGATCAATATCTTAAATAACCCTGAGACCCCAAGGAAATGAGGTGACTGTCAGTCAGAGAGCTAGACACTCCCAGACAGCATTATCACAGTTCCTTCTCCCTGTCCTCAGCTCCTTCCACTCTACTCTGCTACATCATCATTGAAGGAAAAGCAAAGGGAAGGAATGTGTATTTGTGCTAAAGCCCACAATAAGAGAATTTTTTAAATTTAAAGAATATTTTTAAATCATCCATTCAAAAACTGCCACTGTGCCCTAGACAGTTTGGCTCAGTGGATAGAGTCAGCCTGCGGACTAAAAGGTCCCGTATTTGATTCCAGTCAAGGGCATATGCCCAGGTTGTGGGTTCAATTCCCTGTAGGGGGCATGCACGAGGCAGCCGATCAATGATTCTCTCTCATCGTTGCTGTTTCTATCTCTCTCTCCCTCTCCACTCCTCTCCTGAAATCAATAAAAACATGTATTTTTTAAAAAGCCACTGTAACTTGTATGTGAATGTTCTTACTGAAATCTGTTCTCTTCTAGGACCCAGTGCTTCAGGCTTCCAGTGAGCACTCAGTAGCCCCTCAGTCACAGCAGGATAAACGGCCATGACACACTTCCTAAATCTGGCACAAATGGCAACAGCAAGCTGAAGGAATGCCTTTTCCTTCAGGACATTGATTCAGGTAAGAATAAAGAGAACCTCAAGCTTCGAGACCCACGCTTGAATCCTCTAGAAAAATCTCTGGACCAGCTCCAAAATTCAGATAGTCAATACATGCTTAAAGGAAGGAGTATGTATACCGTTGGATGATTCTCCCCAAAGAGAACCATAAAAGCGTGAAGTACATTTTGGTCTCCTCAGAACTCACCTCGTTGAGCTGGCCGAGAAGGTAAAAGGAATGTGGAGTCTGAAAGTTTATCCAGTCCAGAATCCATTCTTTCTACTTCAGGGCAATGATCAGGAGCCCACTTGGGCAGAAGATTAGGGACAGTGAATCCTGGGACACATTCTCCTTCATAGAACCAATCACTCTGCTCATCATCCCCTAAAATAAAGAGATCATTTTCATAAGCTGGAATATTAACATGCTCTATTAAAAATCAAATGGGAAAATAACTTCTCAGTGCTACAGGTTTAAGAATACTTTTAAATAAACTCAAAGTACAAAAAACTGTTTTGATCCTTCTTCTTGATCCATATTATGATGAAAACTGGGATATCAAACTGGAATGCTTTTAATAGCACAAAAATAAAGCTGCCATTTACTAGAACCGAGCCCTTACACCTACCACGACCCATGCTAAAAATCTGTAAATATGTTCTTTCTTCTAAACCTTACACTAATTCCAACTTACAAATGAAGTAACTAAAGTCCAAAGAAGTCAAGGTCAGGTGGTATATGATGAAGCCAGGATTTGAATTCAAAACCTGACTAACTCCAAAGCCTTTACCACAGAAATAAACTGCCTCCTACCATTCTCAGGGGCATAAATGAACGTTGGGATTCAAAGCCCACAAATGTTTCTCAATTCAAAACTAGTTGTTTCTCAATAAGAAAGCCACTGCATGAGAGAACATATTTGCCAATGTTATCTCCGATAAGGGTGTAATCTCCAAAATTTACAGGAAACTCATACAACTTAACAAAAGGAAGATAACAATCCAATCAAAAAATGGGCAAAGGACCTAAATAGACACTTTTTGAAAGA